GCTGATTATAGAACAAATTTGTATTGATAATATACATATTGAATAAAGTATTTCAAGTGTCAAATTACTAGATTGCTTTGGACCGCAAAATTGTTCGACTATATAAGTGAAACATTAACTAAAAAAGTATTTAAAAAACGCCGTCATTTGAAATCATTTTATTCATCATAACTTACGTGTAAAATATTGTTGTCATAGCTCATTTAAAAATATTCAACAAAAAGAGAGGTTTTATAATTAGCATCCATGCTTATAAGTAACACAAAAAATATTTTTAAATTGAAAATAAAAGAAGGAATTTTTTTTTTTTTTACACTAATATTCATATCCATATTGAAAATGTAACTTGAATTTATCAACCTTAAAGTCTATAATATGATGTGTCTTTATTAAGTTAGGTTGGTCAACGTATCCTTACATTTTTTAACAAGTTTCAATTGTTAGAAATTAGTTTATTTAGCAAAACATTTTTGTAATAAAAAAAACCCTTTAATTATATTTATAATGTGGCCTTTTCTTTAATATTGATATTATCAGTAATTTACTTAAAATACATAAAAGAAAAGAATGCAAATTAAAATAGAAATAAAGTATTAATAAAACATCCATCTTTAAAAGAGTTTCACAAACAAATTTATTTTTAGAAAACAGGGATATTCTCTGGTTTTCTTTTAAAAAAATATTACTTTGAACTTTAAATGTTCAAAATAAATAGTTGTATTTAATTGTATTAAATTTAGCCAAAATGAGCTTTGGAAATTTTTTTCTTGCAAAAAAGTTCGATAACTGCATTAAGGTCTAATTTTCTTGCAAGAGGCGTCTCAATTGCCAGTCTTCCAAATTAGTTGATCTTGACACATGGTTATCTTGACACATCATTGAACGTAAAACATTTTGAATTCTTTCAAGAGTTCTCTTTGTGCAACGGCCATTGCGCAACGATCACTGGAAGAGTATAAAAGATTTTAAAAACAACTAAAATGTTTAATTTAATTTGTTTTTAGAGTCTTTTATGCTATTGGAAAAAGAGAATCAAGCTTCAACTCGCGGAGCTTGTTTAATAATTAAAACGGCAATGAAAATATTTTTCCAAGAGTTGATGCATAAATTCCTTTTAAATGTTCTAACTCGTCCATTAAATCAAAAAAAACATCAATGCTGCATTTAACGCAAATAGATGAAGCTTTTTCACGCAGCAGATCTTTATCTAATGTCATGTATTTCAATACAACATCAAATGTTTCCTCAAGATCTTTGGCTGCCTCAAAATGTCAATTCATATAACCAATGACACAGTCTAAAAGAACATAAAAACCATTGCGCTTGAAACAAAATTCTGTGCTGGTTTTGCCTAATTTATTATTTGGTTCCTCATCTAAAAATCTAGCTTTTCGTCTTCGCCTTTTCTCCGGGAATATGTCATTGGAAACCATACCCATATTTTCGGCAACAAGTTTACATGTATTTAAAATTAAATTCCAGTTGTTTCTCAATAATAATAGATCATCAATTAACCTTTTTTAAATTTAAAACCTCCACATCTAAAGTTAAATTTCTGGCTTGCAAAACTGTGTTTTTGTAATTGATGCTCGCGAGTATGATGCACTTAAATGAACCCAAGTATTTTTTGATGCGTTTGAAATTTGATCAAGTCTTGGTAGTCAGATTTAGCTCCTTTAAGTCTTGGAAAGTGCTCTTTAAACCAAGAATATATTCTGCAAAAGGCTTTACACTGTCAATCTTAGCTGACCAACGTGTATCTGACATGCTAAGCAAAGAGCATCAATTTTTTATTTTAAAATTTTCCATTTTTGAGGGCTAGAGTTTTTTCACAACACAAAAGAAGTTTATAATCTCTGCACAGCATTCTGCGGCATGGACACCACACAGATTTAGGCTATGACAAGTACATGAAGAATAAATTTCCCTTAGTTTCTCTTTAATAATCTCTGCTTGAGCTGTTGTTGCCGTTTTCATAACTTTAATCACGACAGTCTATTATTGGTATATTGTGTTTTTTAATAACACTGCAAATTAATTCAGCAATAGCTTTTACCGTTTTCTGATTGCAGTCAACAAACTCCAGAAATCGCTCTAGAACTTCGTAGAGATTACTTTCTTCATTTAAATGAACATAGCGTAATATAAATACAGTTTGTTCAATCTGTGATGAATAAGAAGTTGCATCAACAAGTATTGAATAGTATTTTGCTGCTTCTCGTTCACTTATAACAACGTCTTGTACTTTTTTGGCACAACACTCTATAAACTCATTTTGAATTAACTTGTTTTCTTCTCTTTAATTTCTGCGACTTCATAACTTTTATCAGATGTTCTTTCGAGACAGAATTATCAAATCTAAAATGCCTAAAAAATTACCATTTGCTGTAACGCCAACTAAATTACTTGTTCCTCTAAATCCCAAACCTCGTTCGGCTAGAAACAGTATGACATTTAAAATTCGGTAAAAAAACCTGTTTCCAGTGGGATACTTAATTCTTATTGTTCTGCAGCAGCAAAATATTGATAGTGGAATCAGAGTAAATATTTTTTTCTAATTGCTGTCATTTAATATAACAATATTTATGGTTGCTGCTGTTTTGATGCTCTAGAATTTTTTCATTCAATTTTTTCCATTTCCTTTAAAAACAAAATCCAAATATTGTGGTTAAAAGTAAGCGACATACTGTTGGTAGTTCACTGAAAAGGTGACAAGGAAAATAATGATCCGACATTCCATTAATGTAGTATAATGTTTTATACATAATCTTAATACTAAACCTATACATATTATCATTTAAAAATTTGTTCTTTGCTGTTGCTAAAACTATTTCGTGGGACTAGCCTGATCTGAACGGGAAAGATAAATTTGTTGTTATGATGGGTCGTCTGCTCATAGAAACAGCATGTCTTAAATCGCTTGTTATCTTATTAAAGGAAAGGAAACTTCACATTGCTCATAAGAAAAACAAAATTTTCGAGATTTTCAAATGTATACCGTGGCCCCTATTTATACAGCAAAATAATACCTCAAAATATAGAACTTGGTAAATTAGATAATCTTATTGCCGTGAAGAAAAAACTAAAAGATCTCGTAATTAACAAAACCAATTTTATCGATAAGCATTAAATGTAAAAGAACAACTAATATAATAAAATATAAGAACAATTCAAATTATATAAATAAATAATAATAAAAATAAAAGAAAAAAAAAACTTAACAAAAAAAGAATAAATATAGTTAGCAACTTGAAATAGTAAAAAATTACTGAGCAGTAAACCTCAAAAAGCTAATGTGTGTTTTATAAATTTACTTTTTAAATTTTTAGTTTATTTTGTATTTTAAAGATTGTTGATAAAAGGACTTCTCTTAGTCTTCTCCGAGTTTCCTTACAACTTTATACTATTATTATAATACATTAATATATATTTTTAATGGCAACCTCAAGCAAGTTAATAGCCAGCACTTTATATTATAAACCACGAATTTTTCATTATTAGATGCTCTTCAAATAAATAAATATATATATATATATATATATATATATATATATATATATATATATATATATATATATATATAATATATATATATATATATATAATATATATATAGTATATATATATAATATATATATAATATATATATATATTTAATATATATAATATATTTAATATATATTTATACATAATATATATATATATATATATATATATATATATATATATATATATATATATATATATATATATATATATATATATATATATATATATATATATATATATATATATATATATATGTATATATATATATATTATATATATATATATATATATATATATATATATATATATATATATATATATATATTGCGTACATTAATTGGCTTAAGCCAATTATGTATACTAGCAGTAATACGCGTTGTTAGTAAATAAAATTAAAAAAAAACCGCGTATAGAAAAGCCTAGAAACTACTTTAAAATAGAAAAGCCTAGAAAACGACGTAACTCGACTAATAATTATAATAATAATATTAAATTAGCGTATTCATATTATCAGATAGTAACGTCTTATATCGTGTGCAATTCTGTCCGCTTTCTCTATGTTATCCTTCTAACTTGACTACTTTTGTCTTTCACTCTAACATATCTTCGTTCTTCTTAAATTCACTTACTCTTGGTCCGCAGAGCGGGTTATGACGCTCCTTGGGGAGCCGAGCTTGTCTTTGCGGACCTTGGTAATGTGGCCTCTGTATGGCAACTAGCCGGAGGAGAATAAACCACTATACCTAGATATTGTAAATATGTGTGGTAGACATTTATATAAACTGGAGACATGGAAATATTATTTGTTTTTGAAATATATAATAATGATTGTTGTAAAAATAAAAAAATGGCTGGGTTTTGGCTGTTATTTCAGCTAGAGTTGTAACATTTGGTATCGCTGAATTTTATCGGCATACCATGTAAAACATTGTCGATATGTACACGAGGTTTTCTGCACATCATATATTATACTATTAGGCATACGAGTTGCATTTTAGTTTGTTGGTTGACGGTGTTATATATTATATATGTTATCGGGACAGTAAATCGTTAAATATGTTATCGGGCCGATTTCAATCTTATCTAACAAAAGCAAACGCTTGAAGTTAACTCAATGCGACAATGATTTCTTTTCTAGATTATCATTGCTTGCCAAATAATTGGTAAACATTTTTTTAAACTTTGGAAAGACTTTTATTAAAAGTGTTTCCAAAGTTTCAAGTTATAAATTTTAAGTTAAGTTCATTTGAAATGTTTTGTCCTCAAGCTTTTTTACTTTGAAAATCTTAAACCGTTTTCTCACAAAAAGGCTGACACTCGCCTCATTTTACATGCATATCATGCTACAAAGATTGGTTACACGGTGATTGTAATACATACTGTAGATACATGTTTCTTTTCATAGCAATATCCGGTTCGGCAAAAAATGTTAGGTTCATCTGTGAATTGCATTTGGACTCCAGACCGAATACGATCCACAGCTGAACGGAGAAGCATTTCCGTTACATTGCGGTACAAGAAACAGCCAACCAGACCATTAACAATAAAAACAACAGACACTTTACCAGGTTTCCGGTAGCGATACAACCTCGGTTTTTTTTTTAAAGGTAAAAAAAACTGCATGGTTTACTTGTTCCTTTTTCGATTATGTAACTTAATTTCATAGGCATCAGTTACATAGGCAACAGGCAAAGGCATCAGTTACTAACTGATGTCTTTTTAGCATCTTCTGCAGCTCTTAATCTAATGATAGAAAAAAAAAATGATGTTGCTAGAAAAATTTTTATTTTATTGTATGACCAAACGACTGTGTAAACAAATGTTAATACTACTTAGGAGTATTTTTTGCTCAAAAAATAATGCCATAATGCAGCATCTAAAGAAGAAGAAGAGTGTACCAAAGAATAAAATACAGCAACATATAAAAGTATATGTATTTTAGCATTTATTATGTTTATTAAAAGTCGTTTATTAAAACTTGTTAGCTGCAGTAAATGTGTTCAGATTCAGGTTGTTAAACGTAGTTAAAAAAAAAAAGTTACTCTGTGAAAGATGGTTCACAGCACAATAAAATAGCCACTAACATGATTTTTGCACCTATGTCATTTCTGGTAAAACAATCAATATATAATTGATATGATTTACCTTCCCTGTGATTTTATTGAAGATTTGTTTAACGATTTAAGATTTATTAAAGTTTTGATAAATCCAAAATGGCAATAACCACTATTTTGGATTTCAGCTAGTTTTAGTTATGCCTTACTTGTCACCATATCTCAAAATGATTGTCATAAATTTTTGAATAATTAGGAAAATTTTATTTTTTTATCTATTTGTGCACTATTTCAGTCATTTTCAATGCTAATATCCTGCGCTATAACAAAAAACATTAGTGAACAAGACTTAAGTCACTGAACACCTGATTCTTTCTAGTAATAGCTTTCGATTTAGAGTGTTTTTCTTGCATGTGATCTGCCAAATTATTTGGCAGATTTTTTATAAGAATTCAGCTGATTTTATAATCTGGCCTGCTGTTTGTATTAGATAAATGATCTGCTTAGCCTATCTGATCTGCTCTGCTGATTGTAGCTACCCCAATAAAAAAGCAGAAATTTATTACTTTTTTTTATCTTGTCATTAAACTAACTTCCACTTAACCTTCCTCATACAATTTTAATCAACATATTATATTATATAAATTCCTCAAATATTTACATTAAAATCAGTATACATATCTGTAAACATAAAAATAATTACTAATTAAACACTCATATCACTAACTGATTTTAAAGTTTGCCACTATATAATTACTTATACAGTAAATGTTCTGTCTTTTTTTATAATATCAACTTTAAAAATATAGTTGTGTTCCAAAATATATTGTATAAAAATTAGGATTAAGTCATTACACCAGAATTTCCTGTTTGTATTTTCAAACAAATAACAATACCAATCAAAACTATATATTATGCAAAGGAATTAAATGGTATAATAGTTAGCCATCTGTGATGAAAAATATTGAACAGAAAGAGCTAAATCTAAAATCACAAAATATGTGAAAGAAATCGTAATAGTTTAGTTTTTGCAATATAGTCAACACAGAAACAACATATTTAAGTTGTATTTATCAAGTTATTTTTAATAGCATCTAATTACCAACCACGTTTCTTTATTATAACTAATATTTAATTTTAAAGATAATTTAATAATTTTTAAAGATTTTGTTTATTGCATCCAAAATTTGCATTCTACTATAATTAAAGTAGACAAAAAGTAAAATTAGTAAAAGCTTGCACAATCATTTAATGAATAAACTACATATAAAATAGAAAGTAAAAGTTTCTGACAAAAAAGAAATATCAATAATATTAAACAGATATTAGTCATGTTATAAATTCTATCAATAGTTTTGCCCATCATCTCTTTTTCAGCAAATCACAGATATGGTAGTATTATATTTTATTATTATTTATTTTAATGTGTTCAAAAGCCATGTCAAGTATAAATAAAAGCATTCTAAAATGTTCTACTTTTTTTAGATTTTCAAGAAAATTAAATTATAAAAAGGAATGGCTAACAAAGTTATTCAAGGAAATGGTATTTGCTGGTATCAAACTGAAATAGTAATTCCTGCCAAGAGCAGAGGTATCCACAAGATAACAAATATAATAAAAGGTATTCTGTTTAATCTTTTTTGATAAAAAAAAAAACATGATTTTTAAAACAATTTTTGTTAAAATATAAAAATAATTTGTTATTATAAGTCATGTTTAAATTACATACCTTCGGAGCATCTAGTTCTAAAAATACTTTTAATTTTCGTAAACCAGTTAGTACTATTTATTTTACTTTGCCATTGATTAACAAATTTTTTGTTATTATTTAATTTTTGAGCTGCTTGTACATTCTTTTTAATATTTTCCAGCACAAATTTTTTAAATAAAATGCCATACAACTAAACAGCTTTGCAAGCTACAATCCTTGCAGTACCAATTTTGAAAGTCATTATATCTGTGGTACCTATTTTGAAATTTACAATACTTGCTTGGATATTTTATATATCATGGCTTTTCTTAGATAACTTTATCTCATACATCAAGGTTTATAATAATCTGATACCTTGTATCAGATTATTATAACTTGATACAAGGTATATCTGATACCTTGTATTAGATGTTTATCAACTTTAAAAAACGTTTTGTATGTTGCAGCATAGTCATAAAAAATAGACAGTCTGGCCACTTGCTGTGATAATCTCTTTATTTGCATTTTTTAGTGTCCAGTCTGCCGCAGAGTGCACACATTTTATTTTTGTTGATTGTTTGTCTATGTAATAGCCATTATTCTTAAAGATCATATTAAAGATATAAATTTTAAGGCTCAAATAGAAAGTATCTGTTTAATTGTAAAAAGCATTTTCTTCAGAAATAATACTTGATAGCAATAACAGAAAGTCAATAAAACCTGGATCATTACTAACTATGAGTCTATCAAAAAATTTTGTCATTAACTCCTATACAAAGAGAATCTGCATCTTCTATTGTTGTTAAAAGAGACGCTTCAATGATTTCAAATAGTATTATTACCTTTAAATCTATATATAAATCATACAAAGAGTTCTTAAATTGTATTAGCAAATTAAAGATTTGTGACTGGACAACGAGTGTGAGTCTTGTTGGATCAAAATTTAAACTTTTCATTTCAAGAGCATAAGTAAACAAAATCCAGTTATGCCCTCGATATAAAAATATGTTGATGACAGTTTTGCTTTTACCATTCATGTATATTCTTGGCTCATTCAAGATGATCATTTAATATCGAAACGTCATAACTTGCTTTGTGATAAACTCGCCAAAGAGCTAAGACTCAATGGTGGGCCAAGCAGACGGGTGTGGCGCGAGAGGATGTGTCTCTCTGGGAATGGCAGGCGTTATAAGCCCGATATTGTTGTGAAAGATGATGGTGTAATTACTGTCATCGATATGGCATGTCCGTACGAGAAATCGGAAAGACACCTAAGTCAATGCGAAGATGCAAAAGTTGCTAAGTACGAGCCACTCAGGCTTGATAGGAGTTGGACTCAAGAACTTGAGGGGAATAACGGCAGAAGTGCTAATGAAATTTCAGTTGTAGGGATTGCAGTAGGGGCGATTGGAACAATTACGCGTAAAACCCAGCGGATACTTAGCAAGTTGAAACTGGCCAAGGTCGGAAGACCGTTACAAATAATTGCATGTAATGAAAGCGCCCAAATTATAAGACGACATCTTTCGGGATCGAGACTTAGAAATTTGCGGTGAATGCCCGAGGTAGTTGGGATAATGATGCACAAGCTCGTAAGGCGACTTGCTGCACGTATGACGGCTAAACGCTTAGCTCGATGAGTGCATGTCAAGACGGTCGGGAGTATGATCAGTGGAGCTGACTTTCCAGACGACTCACGCGGATTCGCGTGCGGTGGATACAACACCTGGTATAACATGTGAAGGGTTCCATCTAGTACAGGGATAACGATCCATGGGAGCGAACTAATTAGTTGGAGGTAATCCAACGCCGCTGTTGAGTCAGTTTTTAACCGCCAGTCAAATCCTTTTGAATGGCGGTTAAAATCTTAATTAATCTTCTGATCAATGCAATTTATTTCAGCTTCAAATCTTATTTCTCTTGTTACTTCTTTTAGCCTTTGTTCTGGAATAACTGATACATTTGCATTAAAATAAAATCTTTATATAAAACATTGTATTTCAAGAAAGTTTGTTTTATTTTCATCTAGGAGTGAGTTTCCTATAATTCAGACAGGTCTTTTCTTAGTCAGGTTTGATGCTCATTAAGTTAATGTTGTTCTCAATACATAAGCATTGAAAAAAGTAAAATCATATGTTTGAAAAAAAATGTTGTAAATGCTTGTATCCCTAAATTAAATGCACAAATTAAATTTACATCTCTAAATCGTCTGAAGCTTACATTACACAGTGTTTGTCTAGAAAATAAAGAATTAAAAAAAAATTAGCTTTTATGAAGCAGGAGATTGTAAATATTGTACTCTATAAATTGTTTATAACCTTGATTAAAAAACTACGTACGTAAAAATTAAAATAAATAAATTATTTTAAACAAATAAAAGATTGATCTCTCTCTCTCTCTCTCTCTCTCTCTCTATATATATATATATATATATATATATATATATATATATATATATATATATATATATATATATATATATATATATATATATATATATATATATATATATATATATATATATATATATATATATATATATATATAGAGAGAGAGAGAGAGAGAGAGTTTTATTTTTAAATTGCTTAATGTTTTTTTTTAAGTTTTATCTAAATATTGTTTGACCATTACCATCAAATCATGACAGTCTAATGGATATCTCTAGTTACAAGCAATTTGTAATTTTTGAAGTAATGCAGCTTCTTCATTACTAAGTGCACAAGGTTGGCCATAAGATTTAAGAGACTTTTTACATTTACATGACCTTCTTAGTGTGTCTCTTGGTATTTTAAATTCTATTGCCATCTCCCTAAATAACTTTCCCTTGTTAATTTCTGTCAAAGCCTTCTTAACCATTTCATAAGAATAATTGGAATATTGCCTTGCACCTAATTGTCTATTGTATTTCCTCGGCATCTTATAAAGCAGTTTTACATTTTGAAATTATTTTTGTTAAGACACAAAATATTGCTTGATGTGGCTAGAATTAAGCAATACTAAATTAAAAATAAAATATAATGTGAACAAGTTTATTTGATATAATTGTCTTTATAAATTACTATTACAAAATAACTGTTTTAAAAATTTTGAATAAATGTTGATCCAAGTTACCCCGAAGGCCTAATTTCTTAAAAAAATAATTTTTACTTAATCACCTGAATTACTACACCTATAATATTGCAACATGTGATATAAATATTAGCACTAGTAAATTTGATATATACCTTTCTTTCTTATAATGCTACTCTAAAAAATATTTAATAAAATTTTACCTTTTTATTCAATTTTAGTGCATTTTTTTATAATTTTATTTATGTGTTGCTAAGATTTTGTGACAAAAAAACAAACTATGCTTACTTACCATTACTGTAGAGTTAACACCATAGATATATATATATATATATATATATATATATATATATATATATATATATATATATATATATATATATATATATATATATATATATATTTATATATATATATATATATATATATATTTATATATATATATATTTATATTTATATATATACAGTCAGCAAAATTCAGGTTGGCATTTGGCAATGCTGACGCAAAAGCCGACTCATCTTTGCTTTAGGACGGCATACAAACGCCAACCTGAATATCCTAAAGTGTCGCCATGCATATTGAAATACTTTAAATAAAAAATTATAAAATAATATTCGTTAAATATTATTTTATAATTTTTTTATTGTAATTATTTGCTTTTCAAGTTTGACATATTTTATTAAAACAAAAATTTATTCATTTTTTTTTCCCTTTTTTTCTAAAGTTTATTCAAGTATAGTAAGGTTTAAAAGTATTACTTTTTAAATGCCTGTTGATGTCACGCTTTTTTAAGCGGAATTATTATTTTATTAAGTTATAAAATATAATTATAATTTATTTTATTAAAACCATTTAACTAATAAATTAATATACATGTTTACAGTTTTTTAAATATTATTTAAGATCAGCAAAGTATATTAGAAAAGTTTAGCCTTGGTATAGTTATGTTAAACAGATGTGGAGAAGAAACATTAGTTACACAACTTTTTTTTAATTTAATAGAAGTTAAGGCTTCCATTAAATTGCAACAGACACATCTGTAATACAGTAATACAAGACAACAGACGCAACAGAAATACAGTAAGCAAGCTTAAAACAAGACATAATGCCTAACAGAACTGTCATTGAAAAATGGGGGTTTAAGTCCTGTGAATTTCAAACTGATGATTTAGGTGAAGTAATTTTAATATGGTGTAAAATTTGCCAAGAGTATTCAGAGCTTTTAAAAAATTGTCATAATAAAAATAAAAGCTGTGCTAACTTAGCAACAGAAACGCTTGTACGGGGAAGATCAGTTATAAAAAAAATAACTTGATCATGATTGGGCAGAAAAATCTGTTAATGAATAAGTTGTAAAAATACGTCAATAAGACAATCGCCATTGCGCAGAAACAATATATATAAGAAGAAAAAAAACTAATTTTAGTATTTTTAACTTTTGTTTTCTCTATCAATTTACATTATATCAAATTACATAGTTACAAGTTCATACTATACTACAATTAAATACTAAAAAACACCACCCCTACTACTTGAGATTAAATGCTTATTTCTCGTAGAGGTTAAACAACTGGATGTAAACTGTCTACTCATTTTGTTAAACAATTTGCCGTTTTAAACAAAATCTTCACATAAACTAAATTTGTATTTCTAAACAATGTTCTTTCTATGAGCAATCTAAAAAACCAATTAAAATGTAATAAATAAACTATGACCATTTTTTTTTGTAAAAAAAAACAATAACTTCAAAACTAAAAAATCACAAATTCATAAATTTGCTATATAATTAATATTTATAAATATATATATACATATATATATATATATATATATATATATATATATATATATATATATATAT